ATGATATGCAGGAAAAGTAATCTGCATGACACACTTGAGGTAGTATCTAATGTTTTGGGGTCAGTGCTTCAGTTCTGATGTGTAATCTTTTGTTTTATTTTTTTATTTTTTGGTTTTTCTGTGGTACCGGGAACCGAACTCACGACCTTGCGCTTGCCAGGCAGGCACTTGCCAGGCAGGCGCTTTGCCGCTGAGCTAAATCCCCAGCCCCTGATGTGTAATCTTTTATGCCCCAGGAAGTCAGTCTCTTATCTAGAGGCTCATCCCAGCCAACAGTGAGGAGCACAGCTCTCCATCCCACCTCAGCTCACACATTTTATTTGGGAGCTACAGGGGGTGGGGAAACACTGCCCAGTAGTCTTTGCTTCAGAGATTACACATCAGCATCTTGGCAGGATGATTTACATTGCTTAAAGCCAACTGAAGGAAAAAGGAAAAGTCCTAGCCAGCTCTGTGCATATCAATACATGGAAACGGGGCCAGGTTTAGATAAAATGCAGATAATTGCTCTTCTTTCAAGGAGAGTCATCCAGGTGGTCCTTCATAGCCCAGGGCATGCAAGGCAGATGGTGATGAACCCTGGACCAGGGAAGGGACATACAAGGGGGTGGGAAGGTTTCCAGGCCCACTTAAATTCTTGAGTTAACAGCACTTTGGAAATGTGTTATTTTTTTCTAAAGAAAGAGGAACACTGGCTTCTATTCTGTTCTGGATTATTAGAAGCTATTAAAGAAGTGACTGTGAAAGCTCAGGCACTGAAAAATCCTTTGATCACCTTTTACTGGTTAAATACAAAGTAAAGTCTTGCTGATTTTCCTTGTGGAAGCTGCGGTGTTTTGATACATGTGTTGCTGAGGTTGTAAAAACACAGAAATGAAAAATTATTTAAGTGATAAAAGAGAACTTCCTGGTTATTGAATATATTTCCATTCTTAAGAGCAAAACACTTTAAGAGCAAAACACTTTTTTTAGTCTTCACTTTTCTCTACAAATTCCATAGGTTTCTTTTATCTTTTTGCTTTTATAGATTGAGATTCCACAGGACCACACATCTTATAAAATATACATTAACAAAGAATCTATTTTATGCTTTAATAAACCTCAACAGCCTCTGTATTACTAGTTCCTGTGACAGGAAACTTAGTATGCACCAGGCAGCATATTGTATTTTTAAAAGTACTACTCACATATCAATGCATCATATGACACATGGTTGGAAACCATGGTGACTATTTAAATTAAAATAAATTTATTACAGCATCACACTGTACAATTAATCCCCTACAAAATACCCAACCCCTCTTTGAACATACTTATTTCATCTTTCTTGCCACTCTGAAGCACAACTAGAAGTCCTTATTCATGAGTATCTTCAGTGGCACTGTCTTGGCTGCCTTGTTATCGTGAACTGATTCAAAATATTTATCATTTTTATTATGGAGAAGAGCCAGAAGTCATATGGGTCCAGATTTGGTGAATAAAATGAATGAGGATGCACTGTAATATTTTTAGAAGTTTGCCTTTCTGTGGGATGGCACTCAGGAGCAGTATTCACCATATTTTTATTATTCCTTGTGACAGTACTCAAGAAAGAAGATTTCCAGAACTGCTTCAGAAAATGTCAAGAACAGCGGGACAAGTGTATTTAAAACAAGGGGGAGTATTCTGAGGGGAATTAATGGCACCATTTCTTTTTGCTATAATAATGTTTTAAAAAGAAATGCAAACGTTTAATATATATTTTGATTATACCTGGTATTAGCTAATTTTCAGAAAAAATAATGTCCTACTGCGTAAGTACGAACTACTTCCCATGGTTTGTGGTTGAACACACTTCCATCTGCCAGAGATATAGTCAGGATGTTGTTCCAGATTGTTGAGTGGAAACTAAACTCCTCCTCTAAAGGATCTCTTATTCCTTCCTCCTCACTCCGAGGGTTGGTACTGTGATTTCAGACAAAATCGGTTGCGTTCAGGGTAGTATGGCCGTAGACTTGGTACTGTGATTTCAGATAAGCTCCTCCTCCTCCATTCTCACCCACAACTAGGACCCACCTCCTAGGAACATGATTTAATGGGACTTGACACAGTGAAAAGTGCACTGTGAGTTCTGGCATAGAGAAATTCTTCATGTACAATGTTTAGGATAGTCAATCTTTGTAATCTTATTTCCTAATTTTTTTTGTACCAAGAATCAAACTCAGGACCTTGTGCTTGCCAGGCAGGCGCTGTGCCACTGAGCTGTCTCTCTGGCTCTTATTTCTTAATTTTGTACTTGACACTGTTTTTATATTTTTCTGATCTTAGCCAGAAGAGTAGTGTTCAGAAATGCCATTGAAAAATCCCACCTGTAAGCAAAAACCCTTTCTTTTTAATTGTATTACAAACAAGAGCAAATTAAAATTCAGATTAGACAAAGACTGTATTTAAAAAGAAAGAAAACATAAACTAGCCACATTGAAGTGCTCAGTGCTTATCTGGAGAAGTAATTACTAGAGGAAATATTAGTTTTGAATGTCATGCAAGGTGTTAGTTAGCATTGTTCTGGAGTGGAAAGTTAAGAAATCTCCTAGAACCACAAGAAAATATTTGTTGCAACTGGTATTTGAGAGACATCTATGTGAAGGAAACATGATCAAAATTTTTAGTGGTATTTTAGGGCCAAGAGTCTAAGAGATTTGCCTTTGAGCTGTACAGTGATGCTCAGTCTTTCCTTTGATGACTGATACCCTGGGACTTTCCTGGGACTCATGAACCCATGGGCTTAGAAATTCAAGTGAAGCACAAACCAGCTATGGCTCTTGTCAACTATTTAAGACTTTTGTTAAGTGAGCTCTTGATGCGCAAGGTTTGTTGAGAGAAAAATCTTCTGTTTCCAAAATTCTGAAAGAGTAAAAGTCTGAACCTTGAATTGTACCAGAGGCCATGGGAAGAGGGAAAACACAGATTGTGATATAAGGGTTCCAGTGTTTGCTAGGGAAGAGTGAGAAGTTTGAGGCCAAGCGTAGAAGGGGAAAGAGAAAAGGGGATGTGGTCCAATCTTTGACTTTTTTTCTCTCCATGTTAGGTCACATGTAGGGTGTGAAGCATTAAAAACTACCAGGTGTGTAATAGATACCATCAGCAGAATTAAGAGCAACCTACAGAATAGAAAAGAATAGCTACAAATTATACACAGTAGTCCTCCTTATCTGTGATTTCGCTTTTCATGGTTTCTTAACTACATCTGACAACAGTCCAACATTGTTAAATGCAATATTTCAGAAACAAACAATTCCTATGTTTTAAATTTCATGCCTTCCTGAGTAATGTGATGAAATCTCACTCCTTCCTGGTGGGGAGCTGGATTGTTTCTGTGTCCAGTGTATCCACAGGATATACACTACCTCCTGGTGCATCTCTTAGAAACTATCTTGGTTGTCAGCTTGACTGGCTGGTATTGAAGTGCTGGTGTTCCTTATTTTACTTCAGAATGACTCCTAAATGCAATATAGTGTGGCTGGAAATTCAGATATGCCCAAGAAAAGATGTAAAGCACTTTTTTTAAAGGGAAAGAATGAAAGTTTTTTGACTTAAGATGGTTTCTTTCTTTCTTGTTTGTTTGTTGGTTTTGCAGTGACAGGCATCAAATCCAAGGTATTATATGATATAGATTGGCACTTTACTGATAAGTTCAAAGCCCAGCCCTGGGGGGAAAGTTGTATGCTGAGCTTGAGAGGTCAGTGATGAAAATAAATCTTCTATTTGTGAAATTGTGAAGGAAAAATAAATTGGTGCTAGTTTTGCCGGCACCCCTGAAACTGCAGAAGTTATGACAGAAGTACATGATAAGTTCAGATAAGATATAAAAGGCATTACATTTGTGCGTGGAAGATGTGAAGAGAAAATGTGTTCCACCTGAGGGTGAAGTGTTACACCAGAAAGCAGTGAGCTTGTAGGAAGACTCCAACAAGGATTAGCTAAAACAGGTGACGCCGCACCATTTGGAGCAAGTAAGGGAGGATTCCACAGGCTCAGGAATAGCTTTAGATGGAAAAGCACAAGCAGGAGAGAGGCTGCATCTGCCAGTGAAGAAGCTGCTGCCCCGTTTCCAGCAGAGTTGAAGAAGCTGACTAAGGCGAAAGAATATTATCATCCAAAGCAAGTGTTCAATTAGGTAATTTGTCATTAGTTATTGTTGTTATTCCTTACTGTGCCTAATTTACAAATGAAACATTAGCATAGTAGGAGAGATAGAAAACATAATACATACACAAAGGATGATCGAAATAATGAATATTTACATTTGAAAAATTTATTACAGTAAAAGACATATTGCCACGAATTCTCCTCAGAATTTCTTCTCACTCTGTTTTTTTGGTTTTTTTTGTTTGTTTGTTTGAGACAGGGTCTCGCTATGCAGTTCAGGCTGGCCTTGAGCTCACTTTGTAGCCCAGGCTGGTTTCGAACTCATAACGATCCTCCTGCCTCAGCCTCCCAAGTGCTGGGATTACAGGCGTGTGCCACCACGCCTGGCTTCCCTGTCACTTTGAAGGCACTTATTCAATCATCATTCTTGCTAACTTCTGAAGCGGTGTTGGAAGTTCTCTTTTGTGTCTTTATGAAATATGAGTTTTTTAAAAAATGAATGCAGTGTTGCGTGCCATCTATTGAAAAGCCAGGCTCATAAAAAGCTTATGATGTATCCTCATTCACCTATTCACCTGATCTAGTACGGTGTGGCTTCTGATTCTTCCTCAACATCAAAGATAAAGAAAATGTTCTCAAGACTGATTGCACTGATTGTGTAAATATAGTTAACACTTTGAACTGTATTCTTGAATATGGTTAAGGTAATTGTACATTACAGGTATTTTACTATAGCTTTTTAAAGCCTCACACCAGCAATAAAACCAGAAACAGTTTAGGAATCTGGGAGAGGTGGGATTCTCCTGATGGTCCTATGTACAGATTGTGATTCCGTGTTCCCATGGAGAAGCAGGACGACCTACAAGGCACCTTCCCGGTGACAGGTCACAATGGTTGAGGGGGCTGTTGGTAGAGAAGATCAAAGTTATTTCCTCTTTCACTCAACCAAGGAACCAAGCCTCTTCAGCACAATGATCTGGCCAGGCACAAGGAAAGAACACTAGTTCCACTTCCTGTGGGCTTCTAAGGCAAAGGCCAGAAAGACAACCAGTGCTCAGACAAAGTCTCACCATAGTCAGCATGGGACTAGTTCCACTTCCTGTGGGCTTCTAAGGCAAAGGCCAGAAAGAAAACCAGTGCTCAGACAAAGTCTCACCATAGTCAGCATGGGACTCGTTGTTAAAGCCGCAGATACCAGGATCCACCTGAAAGTTTGAGCAGTTACTTGAAATGAAAGCAGTCAAGCCAGAACAGACTATTAAAAGATCCTAAACTCCCTTTAACTGGTAAGTTTAATTCCCCTTTGTGCTTTTAGCTATAACTGTGATAAGGAGCCTCAGGTCAAGATGAAAAGGACTTCTTTAATTTCTAGAAAAGTAAAGAACGTTATACCATCTTTCTTTCGCCGTTTTCCTCATCTGAGTGGGTTGTGGAATCATTGGTTTCTCCACAGAAAAACGAAACTCTAGATGCATTTTTTCATCTTATTTTGTCTAAACATTAGCTCCTGATGAGTAAATTCCAATTCCAAAATGAATTCAGGCCCAGAGCGGTGGCGCATGCCTGTAATCCCAGCACTCGGGAGGCTGAGGCAGAAGGATTACTGTGAGTTCGAGGCCATTGTGGGTTACAAAGTGAGCTCAAGGCCAGCATGAACTGCATAGCGAAACCCTGTCTCAAAAAAAAAAAAAAAAAAAAAAAAAGGATTTGGCAGTTTTATGATTATTTCAGCATCCTGGACTGTGGCAAGGACTTTCCTACCTCTTTCCTATGCTTTCTGTCTTAGTCTGCTGAGCACAGCTAAATTATATTTCTGAGGCTCTCCAGTCCCGAGGTGAGGCTGGATGGCTTCATTCTAGCCAGTGAAATGTGGACAGAAGGCCTGGCCCCGGAACTGCTTACATGGTCCCTGTCAGACCCTCTCTCATCTGCCAGCTAGATGCTGAAGATCCAGGGAAGGACTTTTGGGCAGAAGGAGCCACTCCATGGAATATCCCTGGGTCCCCAAATGATTGTGTGAAGCTGGGCCCCACCCTTTACCAGGTAGGAATTGTTTCTGGGAGTTTATCCTACACACAAGCTAATCAATGAGGCTCTTCCTGTTTCACGGTTCTGGCAGAGGACACGACTCCCCGGGTGGAAACAAAGGATTTTATTATTCAAGGGGAAAAGCAGTAGCCAGAGTTAGGTGTGGGTTTGTAACTGTTCCTCTTATCTTCCAAGTCCCATTAAGGAAACACAGGGCACAGGACAGACACCAACATGTACCTTGGGTTGCATTCGAGGAGGAGAACTTTGAAGGGAATTACTGTTTTTATAGTAAGCAGAAGCAAGCCTGTTCTTTGCCCTGGGGGGAAACCCTGTCTCATCTTTCAAGGCTGCTGACAGCAGGCATAACCTGAGAATGGCCCTGGTAAAGAATGGCCATTCTCAAAACCTGCAGGGTATTCAGGCTCCAAGTAGGACTGAGTGGGTGGAAAACAAACCTCTTCCGGCTTAAAGCACTGGGATCTTGTGTTGTGTAGCAGTTAACCTATTTTACCTGAACATGGACTCACCTAGGAAGAACCTTTCTTGCTTATCCCAGAAATCTAGTTGTAATTCCTTCTTTCTCTGCCTTACTCCTTAGGCTTCATTTCTCTATCTATAACTAATAAGCAACCAAAGGCTGGAATTGGTGGGAGGTACTGGTGATAAAATACAGGGCCTTGACATTGAGCTACCTCCCCAGTAGTTTTTATTTTTTGAGATAGGATCTCACTAAGTCACTATATAGCCCAGGTTGGGACTATAATTTGTGAACTTCCTGCCTCAGCCTCTCAGAGCTCTGGGATTACAGGTGCACATTACCACACCCAGCCAGAGACTAGATTTTTAAGCTAAAGAAAGTATCAATTTTTCCCAAGGTAAATTCTCTCTCTAAATTTTTGACCAGAATTCAAGCATCAGGTTTTCTATTTTATGAGGTTAACTGTTAATCTTTAAACATCTATATTTGGAAAGTTTGATTAGCAATCCTGACAGATTGACAAAGATTTCCAAGGTATCCCAGTTAATGAGCCATTGATACACATAACAAATGAATACTAACATAATAGCTATTTTTTATTCAAGAGGAAAATGTCAAGTGCTAAAAGTATTATTATAATAAGTGTTATGGAAAAGAGCTAACAGCATGACGTTCTTAAATATCCAGAACAACCTAACAAGATCATTAGAATGTTTCTCTGCCGTGGGCTACAATGGTGATTTCTTTTAATCTTTAATAATGGCCAAGGAAAATAACACAAGAGACACAATTTTCTGTGAAAAATATCCCCAGCTAAGGTGTTACTAGGTCCACAGACTATAAAAGTACTTTATCTCATATCAAAAGTACAGCAATAGGTTACCTTTATTGAAATGGTATTTAGCATTTCCCACAACTAATAAGTGTCTTCTCTGCTTACAGCCATCTTTCATTTTAAAGGTGGTTTTACTGACCCACACCTGTAGGAGTAGCCATTTAAATAAGTTTGCAGTAATAAAGGTGGATCACAATACCACTGGGCCTTCTTTGGTCTTGTTTACGGGAAATTGTACAATATAACCTGAAAACAAAGAAAACTGGCCCACTAGGGTGTTGGACACACAATGCTGACCTCATTAATGGTGGATTGGCACCATTTTCTACGCAAAAGAGCAATTCTGCCACAGATTCTGAGTACCCAGCAGTATAATAACTAAATTCTTAATCATATTTCTGCTTCCATGGGGTTTCATGAGCAGTACACTCTGACCACGTTACAGTGGTTATATTTCTGTTCAAACAAGCAGGCTTAATTTGTTCTTTGCCTCTTGGATGCTAGCATTGTGAGTTTCTATGTTGTATAAGAATAGAAATTTCCCATTTGGATTCTGGGCGATTTAAATTATTGCTCCTCAACAACTTAGCCAACCGATCCCCGCTGCAGCAAACCTGGTGAACTGGTGTGCGGATAGGCGCTGTTTCCTGCCTTGATTTGTTGATGTTTGTTTTCATAGAGATTTATGTGGCCTATTACGTCTTCCGCCATCATCTGGTGTAATTAGTGACCATGAAACTTGTCTCCTGAGGCACCAAATCTATCTCACAGTACACAGTACGGATGGTGTTCCATGAAATGAGCCAACAGTGGGAACACAAAGGCTTCCTCGGCCTTCCGGGGTGGGCGTGAGGCGAGTCCTTGCCACCTGGACTGTCGTCTTCTCTCACTGGTCCTGGAACTCAAGGCCACCGCAAGCATCTGACTCTACTTGAACCTGAACTTCACTTAGCAGCAGCACCCGCCTGGCCCAAATCTGTGTCATCATCTAGATGTTGACTTCTGACCTCTTGCTCTTTCTTTGCCTACTTCTCATTCACAGTGAGCCTTTCCTTAGTGAGCTATTCACCCCTTATCTATTCCTTGTGAAAAGTAGTGTCAGCTGAGTTGTCAAAGTCATTTTTCTCCTTTTCTACCCAGTTTATGCAGATGCAGGCTGATGACAGAAACATCCACACAGCAGAAAATCATTGTAAAGTAGGAGTTTGAAGTCATACACAAGAGTTAAACATTGTCAAGATGTTCTTTTGTTCTCTTGGAGAAGACATTCTATGCTTGTTTCAAGAGTAAATAACACATATATATCTTTGTTTTGCACAAAGGGAATACTAGTTTGGATTTTTTTCTATTTAGAATGTGCTTCAACGTTTTTTCATATTACTACATATACCCTTATGCTACTTTTAGTACAGTGAGGCACATTTATTAAGTTATGAACAAGAAGTCCTGAGGTAGGAAAGCTTCAGATCAGATTAATTCAAAGGCACAGCAACATCATCTGTACGTACCCCACTTATTTGACCATCATGATCGACATGTTGGTTTTCTCCTCCATGTTACAAAATGGCTGCCACAGTATCAGAGATCATATTCAGGCAGGCAAAAGCACAGTATCAGAGAACAGACTGTCTTCTCTGGTCTCTTTCTCAGAAGGGCTCTGGTAAGCTGTTTCTCACATGTTAGCCAGAGTTTTGGATAGACAGTTAACTGTGTTAGTTATATCCTATTTATATTTACTGTTCAACATTATTTGGTTTTCTTATGCATTTATTCCTTCCTCTAAATTTGAGAATATCTTTGTCATTTTCTCTCATAACCCATTGGAGTCATAAAAATTATCATTTTATTTGTGTGTATCTGTGTATAGAGAGAAATATCTTTATAACTTTGTGTTTTTTGGCTGTGGACATGGTTATTTCTCCATTAATAAAAATTTTAAATCTTCAATGGAGTTTAAAAGTGTTTTTTTTCTTTTTATAAAATTCTATATATTCATTTTTAGATCTTAGACATTTTAATTTTATTGCTGTTGTTGAGGACATTGTATTTCCCTGTATATTTTCTAGCTGGTTATTAACGCTGTGCCAGAACATTGTTGATTTTTATGTGTTGGGTTTGTGTTGAATAAACTTGCTGATCTCTTGTAGTCTAATGAGGTTCTCTTCTATCAGTATTGGCTACTTTGTCTTATTCCTTCTGTTTCTTATTTTTCTTGCATCATTATGTTGGTGACTAGGCCTCCTAGTAATTTAAAAAATAAATGTGAGAGTAGTTAGTACCTTACTCTCAATTTATCCAGAATGCACCTGAAGTTCATTTATGAAATCCAATGATTGCTGTGACTTTTCAGCAGTTAGCTTCTGTAACTTGAGTATTCCTTATCTGAAATGTTTAGTATCAAAAGTGTTTCAGATTTTAGATATTTTGGGAGTATTTGTGCATGTGAATTTTTAGAATATTTGCATATACATTATGAGACATCTTAAGTCTATGCACAACATTCATTTATGTTTTATACACACCTCCATATAGCCTGAAGATAAATTTATACAATATTTTAGATAATTTTGTGCATGAAATAAAGTTTCATAGTACAGAATTCTCTGCTTGTGGTATCATGTCAGCACTCAAAAAGTTTCAGGGTTCAGAGCATTTTAGATTTTAGATTTTTGAATTATTTATGCTCAATCTGTATTAAATTAAGAAAGTTTCTTTTACTTAATTTTCTAAGAAAAGTATATCTTTTAATAATTGCATTGTATTTGTTTGCATGAGAATATGATTATTTAAGTAGTTTTTTTACTGAGAAACATTTTGGGTATTTTATTTATTTATTTATTTCATACCAGGAATTGAGCTCAGGACCTTGCGCTTGTGCTGCTGAGCTATACTTGTAGCATTTTGGTTATTTTTATAACTTTTTTTTATTATAAAAACAATAAAAATTTAGCACATATAACTTTCCACACTTGCATATGTATATGAAAAATTCCTAGAGGTATAATTATTGAGTTGAAGGATATATTCCTTTAAAAATTTTGTAACTCTTCTCAAAGAAAAAGCTAACCATGTATTCATACTTTTCTGAATGTGTTTTATTTGTGGGTAACCAAAGTGCCTTAGTTGGTGAGAGAAGTTGAGTTTACAGAATTTCAGATAAAAATATAGGCAGGGTGGCAGCGTTATAAATGCCCAATTTTGCAACCTGTAAAATAATAATTGATTCAGATAGCAATAATTAATGAAATTCAAAATCAGCATAAAAAAAGTAATGATTATAATAGAAAGATCAGCCACCATTTGAAATTACTTGTTAATTTTTGTATCCACACAGTTAAACAACCAGGTGTCGTGAAGTACACAGAGCAACATGTGAAATATTCCTACAAAGAAGCTTTCACTCGAATTTAATTAAAATTGGAAATTTGTCTTCCAGTTTATTGAAGAGAGGGCAACAGTAAGAAACAATTAAGAAGCACAAATCCAGACAAATCTAAAATGTAGAACATTCTGTAAAAGAATATCTTATTTCATCCACAAGCTAATGGAGAAGTAAGAAAGTAATGTGATTGTTCTAAGTGAATGGAGATCTGAGAAAAGTAATATGACCAATCCTATATAGACTCTGGTTGGTTCTTGTTTCAGATGTGTCTGTGTAATGGTTAATCTTGGTTTCAACTTGACTAGATTGAGAGATGTCTAAAAAATTGGGAAATCACACTCCTCAGTGCATCTTTGAGGGTTTTCCAGAGATGACTGGCATATGGGTCAGTGAACTGATGCAGAGATGTTGGGAGAATACCTTCCCTGAACATGGTGGCACCATCTAATAGTCTGGAGGCCCGGATGGGACAAAAAGTGCAAGGGGAAATTCACCTATGTGCGTATGTTAGACTTTTGCTTTGATTTTACTGCCTTCATTACTCATATCAGACGCAGATTCTTAAGGCTTTGAAAGTGGACTATCACCAGCAACTCTCCAGGGGCTTTCATCCCTCCAGCCTTGGACTGGGGCTGCATTATTGGTTTCACTTTTTTGGGGGTCTTCTGGCTTCTTAGATTGACAACTACTGAGTTCTCTGATTCTCCAGTATGTTAGGGTCCAGGCTGTGTAGGTGCTAAATTGCTAAACACTGTCCTCTCTGGATGTTCTGGCGAGCTCATATCCACAGACTCTAAAAGACAAGATAACCCTGCAGCTGTGGGCTGCTGAACATCACTCAAAGGATTCAAGAAGAATAAACTGTCCATCTTAAAGATGAACCGATTCTCTTAATTAGCAAGATTTACCGCCTTTGTTCCAACTTCTCAAGTCCCTGCTCATTTTCACTGGCTTTTGCATCAGATGTGCCCTGTACTTCCTGCATCCCCTTGAACTGTGCAGGAGACAATAAATATGGGTGATCCAGAGAATTCCTTGTCTTAGCTCCTGACCTTCCTGGACCCTACAAATCATAATTGCATTTGTCTTTATTAATCCTTTTCCATAAGCTTGTCCATAGATTGAGTTCTTGATCAGCTCCCGATACTAGCACACACATGGTCGTCATGGACGATCTCACTTTAATCAGGTAATGTAATCTAGTAAATCTCCTCTCATAATCAAATATACATTGTATTGGTTCTGTTCCTCTGGAGAACTCTAATATAGTCAGCAAAAGATATTTTAAGACAATTGAAGAAATGTTACTATAAACAGGATGTGGACAGATACTAAAAAAGTATTAATTTTATTAGGAATAAAAATAGAATTATGTGGTTATGCTACAAAATGTTTTAATTAGTTAATAATTAATTTATTGTAGAGTCAGGGATTGTACTTGGGGCCTTATGTATGTTTGGCAAATGCTTTACCACTGCACTACACCCCAACCCCAAATGTCCCTATTTTTCATTGAAACATATAGTAGTGTAAGTATCTGTATTTTTCAATGAAGTGATATCAGGTATTTTGCTCAAAAATAGCTATGCCACCAAAAAAAAAAAAAAAAAAACTTGAAGCAGAAAATATTGATCACTGTTTAAGCTGATAAATATTAATGCTTTTATCTTTTATACTTTTGTGTATGATGAACAACTTAATCTTAACAGATATTTTTTAAAAAGTATGGCAAATTAGCTGATATTCAAAGGATTTAAAATCTAAAGCTAGCCAGTTTGGTGACACACACCTGTAATCCCAGCATTCTGGGTGTCTGAAGCAGGAGGATCTCAAGTTCAAGTTCCAGCTGAGCATTTAGTGACTTAATGAGAAACCTTGTCCCAAAACTAAAAAGAAAAGAAAAGAAAAGAAAAAGAAAAGACCAGGATGGAGCTCTGTGCAAAAGCCTTGGATTTGATCTGTGGTATCACACACACACACACACACACACACACACACACACACACACAAGCAAAATACACACAAAAGCTGAAGCTAAATTATTTGAGTCTGTGAGTTATAAATCAAAACAAATTGCAATCCTAATCAAATTTCTTGGTCCTTGATAGTCCAAAGAAATCATAATTCAAGTTTCTTAGACTTCTGCAAATTGAATTTCTTATTTTTCTTCTATTCAATCTCAGCCAGGAACTAATGCCTGGATAGAGTCAGTGTTGCATGATTTAATTTAATTTATTTTATTATATTTATTTATTTATATTTTAAAGAGAGTAGTAAATGAGAAACAAACAAGCAAAGAATAGAACAGTAGTAGCATACCTGTATCACAAACATAAACATATCAAAGCAAGAACATTCGAAGTGATACAGGGTCTCAAGACAAAATAATACAAATCAACAGTGGTTGTTACATTACATATCTCTCTCCTCAACTACATTGCTCAGATTACCAGATGTAAGAATGAAAGATTGCTCAAACCATTCTAGGGAATAAGAAAATAATTCTTCGATAAAACCTTAAGAGATTTTAAACCTACAGAGCTTCACTAGACAAGATGGTAGGAGTTCACCATTGTAATTTCAGTGCATATTGTTACCTTGAAACCAGCTACTCAGACCACCAGACACAAGCATGCACAATTGATCAGAATATAAAAAATTGTAATCATTAACTGTTCAATACACCATCAGACATCAGCAATACAGTTATTGCAGCTATTCATATATATACTTATATTTTAAGTGTTGCATGATTTTAATCTGATGATTCCACCACCACTTCTGATTTCATTTGCTTGAAGTTGCTAGAGGTCCTCAAACTTTACTGTGTATCAGGGTTCCTTGAATGACATTAAAACACAGGTTTCTGGGCCTTGTCACCTAGTCTGCACTTCTAACAAGTGCCCAGATAGTGTTGATGGTGTTGTTCTAGGGGACCATACTTTGATAATCACTGAGTTAGGAAACTGCATTATTTTGAAAAGTTCTGAGTTGACTTTAAAGCAAATCAAGACTGAGCAAACTACTGCTTTTAAAGTGTCAGTAAGTATTGCCTTTCACAGTTGTGGGTATGTTTCTTTAAGGAGCTCAGACAATTAATATAACTCAAATCTCCTAGAGAAGATCCACCTCCAGCCAATGCAGCTCCCAGAAACTAGTTCCTGGTGAACTCCAAAGATGGGAATTTGGGGTAACCAAGTGAAGGAGGCAGAGAGAGAGAGGAGAGAAACCTAGATTTTAGACTTACCATAAGGCCAGTCTGTCCAAGCTGGCTGTTTGGATAATGTTTGTTAATCAGAGGTAATTAGGAGCCTTTGTATTTCCATCTGAAGGGGGAAAAATACCTGTGCATAGTAACATACTGCTCAAGGATTCAGAATTCTAGATAGTTGTAGTCCTCACCAGCGTGCTTTCTTGGATCTCTATTTTTTTCTCAACAAGAATGTTCAAAACGTCTTTGTTCTAATTATGTTTTGAGTATGGGCATTATCGAGGAGCATCTTACTATTTACTTATTTACTTACTTAATTTTACATTTTTTTTTTTAACGAGCCAACGCGTTAAGTTTATAACGCCAAGGTCACTATGGCTTCTTGCTGAGGAAGTGCCTGTGAAACTCACTTCCGGTTTCCTCTGGAAGATTTCCATTTAGCTCCATTTTTGCTCCACCTGGCTCTATTGGTTTGGGGTGGCTTATTTGCAAGGGGAACAACATAATACAGGTCACATACTTTATATGATTATTTATAAGTCACCCAAAGAACAGTATACAAAAGAGTGCAGGAAATCTGTCCACACACTAAGACCAAGGAATCCAGCTGAGGGCCTGGATCCCACAACAATATCTACATGAGTTGAGCTGAATACCCAGAGCTCATAACAATACCTCCATGAATACAACTGGAGGCCCAAAACCCATGACAATGTTTCATGCGGACCTGTTTCATGGATCTGCTGGAAAGGCCCAAAGGTCAGTGGTGGAATCTACAAAGTCTGCGCCAGCAGGAAGAAGGATCTGTGCTAGCAGGATGAGGGATCTGCACTGGAGCCAGGAAGTGATGCTCAGAAGAACCAGGGCTCCCCCAAAAGGTACCACAGCCATCGTTGGCAACAGTGAGGTCCCGAGCTCCTCCGATGATTAGGATGGCCGAGTTCCCATCAGGGAAGCCAATGTAGCAAGCTTTTCCTGGAGGCTGGCAGTGCATCATCTTCCCCTCCGGAACCAGGAAGCTATGCTCAAAGTGAGGACCAGAGCTCCCCAAAGTGAACTGAAGCCATTCTCAGTGCCAGCGAGGTCCCGAGCTCCTTGGAGGATGAAAACAGCCAAGTTCACCAGGAAGCCAGCTCCCCACGGTCTCTCTCAGCTCCCAACAGCTTCTCCCAGCTCCCAACAGCCTTCTTCTTCTCCTCCAGGTCTGCCTCTTATGCTGCTGACAACAGTCCTCCGGTGGGCCTCCCACACCCAGCACCACTCACTCAGTTCAGCTGGGGGTTATAAGTTGACCACCAGTTATCAATCCACTACACTGGCCTATGGGCATCAGTGGATTCTTGAGCTGACCTTCTTGTTGGCTGTCAGGCTTGTGCCTGGGTGAGTGGGTTATAAGGTGGATGGATACCTGCTCCACATGCTTCTCAAGACCCGTCTCCCTCAACCTTTGAATGTTTCAGGTCTTGAGGAATATTTCCTTCCCCTACATTATTTCTTTCTAAAGTGGAGGTGTCTGTAGTATTTCCTTTCCCTCTACTCTTTCCCTACTCCTTCTAGAAAGGCTCAACTGAATTCTTTACAGTTAAACTGCATTTAAAATCATCCCTTTTACTTCTCCACTATAGAAAAATCCCAAATGGAAAGCTATATATTGTTAGTTTTTCCTGTTTCCTTATCCTCTTTGTTTCCACAGATACTTTCATACAATGTGTTTTGTTGGGTCTCCCACTGTAAGAGGCATGAGTTGCTAATTCTACATTCATTGAAAACATCATCTGTTGGAAAAGCCTCATCCACGTTCATTCTTTAAAACTGGTTAATCTGACACAAAAGGTAGTTCTCTATCCAATGAGTACTTAAAGCAGTTCTGTACCTGATCTGCTGCCCTGCTTAACTCCTTCTTGTCTTGCCCTATCTTGTCTTCCATTTGAGCCCCAATTCCATAGGTATGTATGTACATACGTACGTGTGTGTGTGTGTGTGTGTGTGTGTGTGTGTGTGTGTGTCCCTATCCGGCATGGCTAATTCTTCTATTGTCCATTTTACAATAAACTTTCTGCTACTTTGGTACTCATCCAGTAATTTTCTGAGTAGTTTATTCTGTTCTTTTGCTTCCTCTATATTATTTCTTCCCAAAGTGGAGGTGTCTGTAGTATTTCCTTTCCCTGAACCCATTTTATTTAGCAGTTTGGCAATCCTTCCTAATCTGCAAGTGTGCTTTCTCTAATTGATCTCACTATGGCTTTCTGGACCTTCAGGGAAGCAGACTGACTCCCCTGGAGGACCGGGGTGGGTCATTCCTGGAGGCTGCCTGAGACCTCGTGTCTCTCTTTCTCAAACTTATGGGGATCCAATTGTCCTTTATGCTCTACAACTTTTACATCTGTCTTCTCCAACATCTGCATGATCTTTCCTTTTCCTGCTTGATCTCTTTTTCCATTTTATATATCCTATTCTCATCTTCAAAAAAATCCTGTTTTCCCTCTTTAGTTTGCTCTCTGTCCTTCTTCCTGAGAAAATCCCTTTCTTTCTTCAGTTTGAACATGTTTCTGGATTGTATTTCATTGTTCTGCTGTTTCTGTTTTGGTAAGAAGTCAGTCAGGCTAGTGATATATTTTTCTGTTAGAGAGTGTTTATATATTCCTATTTTATTGAGTTTTAAAATTCAAAATTAGATGGTAAACTTTATCCTTTTTTATTTTGCTTTCTAGAAATGGTTACTTCTTGCTATTTATGTTTGCTTCTATTTTTCTGAAGATATTCCCAATTTCCCCTACTTAGTATCTTCTTTTCCAGATTAACTTTGTATACTTTCAAGTGATTGTTCATTTCTTTTCTTCCTCTTTTATTGTATTACTTCAT